CCCTAATGATGACGACTGTATCTACACTACAATAAAATTCATCACAGTAAATTTTTTGAGGTAACTTGAACCCTGTAATCTTTCACTCAGTACTTTTTGAAAAAGTTCAATATCTCATTTACTTATTACTGCTGCTCCGACTTTTCTATTGATAACAATTTTTTTGCTTTCATTATATTTACCCTTTACTCGTCGTTGTTCCCACTGTAATAGAGGTTCCTACAATCTCGTCTCTCATTCTTGGCTTATCGTTTTTTTTAAAGTTATAAGTTATAATATAAAATCACTCTTTTACTTCTGCAATAAGTAGCGAGCTAATAGACTTTCAACCTCTAGTGAAGCAGATTTTCATTTAAACCGCACTCCATTTTCGTCTGTGGCCCAAGTTTTCTAGCCACTTTTATCAGTAAGTTTGTTATTACGACAATTTTAACTTATTATTTACTGCTTACTTTTTTTAATGACAGGGTATATTGCGAAATACAACTTCAATGATGCTGACACATTTGCAAACTCCGGACCACAGGTGTCTGCAGTGTGGAACGAAAAATTGTGATTATAATTACAGCCTCAGCTTAACTGGGCTCGTTGCCGATTTGGGCTCCCTAGATCAATCCGGATGACGGGTGATTGCTGATGGCAGAAGATCGATAGAACTAGCTGAGAAACAGGCGAAACGAAGGGCCTGAATGGTGTGGTGGTGAACGCGTTACTCCTCGGAAAGGAGAATAGCGCGTTGGTTCCCCACCGCAGACACCTGCGGTTCGGAGTTTTCCAAATGTGTCAGCATCATTGAAGTTTGTTATAATATTTTTTGTTGGTCATTGTTCAAATTAGATATCGATTTATTAAAGGGCTAACTCCATATCATTACGGTAGCTGTCAGACAATATGAATTTTATAATTTTAAGGGAGCAGTGTAGTTATTCTCCGCTTCAGGTTTTTGAATGTCTGAAAAATTGTGAAACCTGTTAGCATGCAATGCAATCGACTTCATTAAGCATCATTAGAGGTGACTGAATACATATCTGCTCTATGAAATGGTTCTTAGTGGCTTACCGGTGTATGGAATCAGCACTGCTAACCTCCCAGACAAGTCTGGCACCAATTTGCCGACTTCGGAGGAATGCGAAGTTTGGTGACTCTGTGGTGCCGGGATCGATCCCATGTGTATTGTAGGCCACCTTTGACCACTGCGCTACACGTGGCTCCAAATAAACTCACTTTTTTGAACTCACACTGCACGAAAATTCATTTATAACGTACCTGTTTTTTTTTATGACCACACACGATATTGTTAACACAATGTTTATTCACAGAAGCTAACTTTTCGGCAGATTTCGTTTTTCTCAGGCCTGGGAATGTCAGATTTACACGCAACTTACTTAGAGAAACACTTTCGTAACTTCAGCAGATAAAACTTAACACATAAATTTTCATTCGCATAATAAACAGTTTCTTTTAAATAGTCACCGCTTTGCTCTTTATAAACGTTTCAGTTATTTGATGAAAACCAGCCGTAGAACATCTTACACTGTTGAACAATTTTGTCTGACTCACAGGTCAAAGAATCGACGTGGAGTATGACGCAGGATGACTCGTGATCACAAAGCCTTACAGGGAATCCAGAGGCGTGGATTTCTTTCGAGAACCTCCGGAGCTGTCAAGAACCACTGCTTTTTTGGAAAATGGAAAAGGTGCTTTCAGCCCAATGAGAGCTGGAGACTTGGAAAAGGTGCTTTAAATCCAATGAGAGTTGGAGACAATCTGTTGCGTTGACGCATTGATTGACACGTTAGTAGTGTTTACGAGATTCCACAGGAATAACCTCGGTTCCAGCAGGCTTCATGGAAAATATTTATTAAAACGTTCAAAGTACAGTCGTCAGGTGATAAAAATACTACTATGTTAATGTGAGATTGTGACATTTATCGCAGTTGACCGGGGTTGATTTTGTTTTAACTGTTGATAAGATGGCTTATCTTAGCAGTGACGACTTTCATACTCAACATCCTAGGATTTGTCTCAGTGTGGTAATATGTGTCTAAGAACGAAATAAAGCCTGTTATTTTTGCCAATCTTGTCTTAACAAGAGAAACGTTTTCAATCGATTTTATCGACTTTTCGATTTTGCTACATTTACGGGTAGTTGTTACTTTTCCGTGTCAAAGTACGGAAAGTATTATGTGGAGTTGTAGATGAAAAGTATAGACATCAATTCATTAAGAGCAGATGTAAATCGAGAAGAGAAGAGGGGATACGTACTTTCTCGGTTTTAGTTTAAAAAACGGAAAAAATTTTTCATCCGTCAATTTGCTTTTTATTTACTACTTATTATTACAATTATTATTAATTTTTCACGACAGGATGTGATCTGAAACACAACCACTGTGATGCTGAGAGATTTTAATGCTTGGACCGTAGGCCAAATTCGAACTCGCAATTACCCTTTCCTTATGCTCACGTAATGTCCACTGTACCACTGAAGCAGCCCTTGCTTCACATCGCTCTCTTCTTGTTTTCTACCTGCGGTTATCAAGTTCATATTACAAAACAACAATTATTCAAAAATTCTATTCTTGTGTTTTCAAAATTTTCTATGTTCAACTGAGGCCTATAGGGAATTTTAGCTGGTCATTAAAGTGATCTTAAAGAGCTTCTTGATGAAACACTTCATTTTCAGTGTTATTCAATGCATTCGTTTTCGCTTATTTCGTGGGACGAGAAAAAATCGTTCCCTTTCAATATGCTATTTTTCTCGTCGAAAGACGTTTCACTGTAATCATTTAATGACGTAAGCTTCTCTTCCTCACGTTATCCATCTACGGATAGAAACCAGTGGAAAAGATCTACCTTATTTTAACTTTTTTACGCTTTTTTTTATTTTTCACTTTACACTTAGTTTATCGAATTTCATCCTCTTGTACTTAATTGTCATCCAATCATCGTTAGCATCGATATTCTGCTTCCTCAAATTCTTAACTCAGTCTTCGGTTTAAAAACGAAATAGGGACCTCTATTAAGCTTATTTGAAGGTTCTTGTCCGTTTATTAGGGTTTTTCTGTTTTTAATATTTATGCTTTCTAATTTTAGTCTCGAAATGGACGCCCAACGCGTCCCTTGGAATTATACACTGCCTAACGGGAACGTCGCCATAACGATGGACGTGAGTTCTACGTTTAGCCCTTGTTTTTATATTACTTAATTATTTTAGTTAGTCATTTTTACAACGTTTACAAAGCACTCAATATGGGAACGATGCCGTCGAATGAGCTCGCCTCATTGGACTCATCATTATTCAAATAAGTAGATTTACTTCATTGTCATTTATCAATTATTATTATTTATTATTATTTGTCATTTGGCAATCTTATTTTTATTATTTTTATTATTGCTTATTGATTATTTGTCAACCTCATGTAAGCTTATCAAAAAAATATTACATATAGATTTAGTTTAATTGTTCATTTCCATTCAGGTGTTACTTTCCTGCTTCGTGTGTTTATTTAACACAGAGTTAAATCAGACTAGGTTTCGTTTCTTGAAATCAAATTCCAACGACGTAGTTTTTTCGTCGTAAATTTCCTTTTCGAAGATTCTCCAATTTTTCGTTGATAGAAAGATTATTAATGGTGTTCTTCTTCGTTGCTTCGTTACATAGTCTTTTAAAATCATTTTTTATTTTATTTTATATGACCCGCCTTCACGACTACTGTACGGATCCCAGCACAGCACTTCTCCCATTCAATTCGCTTCCTTCCGTCTATTGCCCACAAAGATCTTCCAGCTTATACGTGTGGATGTTGCTTGAGGATTTTAATTTCATCTTGAATGATTTTGGACGAATGAGAGGCTTCGTTGGCTTGGAGCGGAACTGAAGTAGCGCCATGCTCGTGATGACGGACATCACTACCACTTGCTATCCCCTTCTGTCCAAAATCATTAAGGTGGAACAAGCGGATTTTTAGCTTAATTTCCTTACCAACGAAAATGTCTTATTTACTGAACGATTAAATTCGGTTTAGAGAATTACAAAAAACGAAACTATATAATTTCCCAGGAGCAACTTTTTATTAATCTTGGCATTGATCAATAAGTTGTTATCTTGATGGGCAAGTACGAGGTTACTATTATCGTACTTTTTCTTTTACACTAACTGACGTTTCGGTGGACTTCGTCTTCTTCAGAGGCTGGGAAAATCGAGTTGACTGCAATCTTGTCACTAAAATGCTTCCATAAATTAAGCGAGAAAAACAACAAACCTAAATTTCAATCGCATTGGATGGGAACAACTTGTTCACATATTCATGGTTTTCCAGGAGCATTCCACTTACTGTTGGGCGGAGACGGTCATGTCTAGTCTTGTCCTCCGCTTATTCATTGTGGATAAGTTCCACGAATCGAAAAAATTTCTCAGGCTGATATTTTAGCGTGAGAGAGCCACTTTATCCACCTATGCGAACTCTACGGGTGATCTTCCTCAGTAAGTGGAAGATAAACCCATAAAGACGATGACTTTCTGAAGAAGCTGGGTTTTTCCATCAAGGTTATAAAAGTATGTCGACAACTATCTTGCACTAAGCTTAAGCTTCCCAGGCTTTTGAGAAGGCGAAATCCATCGTAACCTTTAGCTTTTGTTGATAAATGAACAGTATATTAATCACAATCTTAACTCTTTTATTTACTGCCTTTTTTTCTTCTTAATGGCAGGTTATGTTGCGAAATATAACACGTATGAAATGCTGAGATATTTGCAAAACTACCCGGATGGTGTAGTGGTGAAGTGCGCTGCTCCCCGGTAAGGACAACAGCGCGTGTTCGTTCTCCACTGCATACACCTGTGGTCCGGAGTTTTGCAAATATCTCAGCATTTCATACGAGTATATTAATATTTCGTATTTACTTATCAGGGGAACAGTGAAATTGTATACAGTTTACCTTAAAATTACAGTATAACTACATTTCTGCGGAAATCGTAAACTGTTTAGGCCTGTTTTCGAATGCTACGCGACCAAGGCATTTCACCAGTTCCAGAGCCGGGTGAGTGATAGCCACTTTCAACAAAACCCATCCAAAAATCACTAAGTTTTCACAATTACCACAGAAATGTCGGTAAGTTTCAGAAGATGGTAGTTTGTGGTGTAATGCTACTTATGATACCGTACTGTGCTGGCCACCAACGCCAGCGAACACCAGCGTAGTGCTGCCGTGTCCGCCACTTAAAGGGCTCGATCCGACTCGTAAGTTTATCGTCCAGCTGCCGACTAACTAATCGATAACGTCTCCAGTCGTGTTTATTATTTATTAGATCGCTTCATTTAGTTAGCTTCAATATCAAATAAATTTTTAAGCTGTATTTTGCACGAATATGTTAGCTGCTAATTGATTATTGATTTTTCATGCTTCACTGTTAAGTTGTTGTGTTCATTTGGTGCCTTTCCTTTTCCTATTGCAATCAATACGTATATTTTCTACAAGAACGTTCGTCAATTACTTTTTTTTAAAAAGTAGGTGTAAGGTGTAAGGTGTAAGGTGTAAGGTGTAAGGTGTAAGGTGTAAAGTGTGTGTGTTATGTGTGTCTGTTGTGTTGTGTGTGTGTGTGTGTTTGTGTGTGTATGTGGGTGTGTGTGTGGTGTGTGTGTGTGTGTGTGTGTGGTGTGTGTGTGTGTGTGTGTGGTGTGTGTGTGTGGTGTGTGTGTGTGTGTGTCTGCAATTTTTGTTGTTGGGATATTTTCCAGTGATATTCCAGTCTTTGCAGCAATAAAAAATCCGCCTGGCTTTTTGGAAAATGGAAATGAAAGAAAGCTACACGGTTTCAATGTTTTTTCTTTATTTTTCTTTATAACTAGCTTGATTCATAGTTTGTCTGTGAGAACTTCAGTTGATGTTTTGGCCCTACTCATATGATCGCTAGACCTTCGTTTTTAGGTGAAGAAAACTCTATTCATCTCGTATATGTGAATATTCATGTGTATACAACATTCTTTGACGCCGGTTTCAGGTAACATAGTAAAATCGTGCGACCGTTATGGTCGCTGGGCCGGAAAATCGGAAGGTGTGTACGAGAATCCGTGGGGTTGGACGAATTTCACCGTCTGCTTTAAGATGGACTACGAAAATGTCAAAGTACGCTGAAAAAACTTCTCGATCTCGATCTCTTCCACAAATATTTGAACTCGACGTTTCCCTCACTCAATCGCTGCTGTCGCCATAATCGCTGTCGCCTAGCGTCGCAGCGATTCGCGGCTTGTCGCTCGCGCTCGCTACACCCCGCGCTGTGTCGCTGCGTCGCTTCCGCACACTACACTTGCACTCGCGGCATGCGGCATTTGTTTTAGCACCGTAACACTTTATCGTAGTACATTCATTTTTTTCAGTTATTTGCTTTGCTTATGTTACGCTTTTAGCCATTTTTTGTTATTGGCTTAATTCGCTTTGTTTTCGTAATCCTACGTGTTGCTTGTTCACTTAACATTCATAGGTAATCCTCTCCTTAATCTTGTTTTAAATCCTTTATTTTATACAATACGTGGATGAAATAATGTTTTCTTTGAAATGAAGAAGGTTTTTTTGAAATTCTCCGGTAATAAAAAAAGCTTAGAGGACGTGTGGCGCGGTGGTTGGAGGCTCCTTGCAAAACACACGTGGAATCGATCTCTGCGCCCATGACCCACGAAGCCTTCCACCCTTCCAGGGTCAGAAAATTGGTACCAGACTTCTCTGAGAGGATAGCAACAGTGGCTCGATGCATTGGTAGGCCACCACGAGTCATTCTAAAGGCCAGATATGCATTCAATCACCTCCGAACGATACTTAATGAAGTCAAATGCATGGCGCATCCGCAAAGGGATTGATGAATGTCGAAAGCCTTATCATTTTTTAAATAAGAAAACTCTGCCGTAGATATTAATGAAGTAGCATTACACTAATCGAGGCAAAATCTAATTTTTAAGAAAACCTACTCTTTTGGCATGAAAGCTACTGAAATCCTTATAGTAAACGAAGTAACAAAGCGGAACCGTTCGTTTATTCTGCGGTATAAAGGTTTTTTTTGTCGTCTTTAGGCTTACGCATTTCAAGATTCCTTATGTGTTTGGTTATTATCAGTAATTTTGTTACAATATCTATAAGATTAATGTATATGCTGAAATGAGCACGAAACACACGAAACATGCAGATTGATCTTCTCCCGACATCCATCAATAACCATACTTTCCTTCGTGTGCCGCGTGCGCTTTCATACTTAGCTATATATTTTATGGTCGATGTTATATGGCCAACCTATAAGGTGTGTAGTGCTGTCGTATGCTTTGTGTGATTTTGTTTAGAGCTTTAGGAAATATCACGAAGAAATGTCATTGGACGGGAAAGTGGCAAGGCCGTACCGAGAACGACTTTGCCAGAGAACATGGCTGGACGAACTTCACTATGTGCTATACGGACGAAGTGATCTACATCATGAATAACCTCAACAGCGAATCACTCGGGGTTAGATTCACTAGCAGACATGAGATGTTCTTAAGTATACCTATGAATGTCGGTGGGAATCAATCGCACAATAAGCTCCATTCCACTGTTTAAATTCATAATAAGAGCGCCGCTTAACAACTTCAAGTACAAACAGTTGTGATGTCAGTCAGTATCTTAATGTGCAAACAGTCTCAATGACGGCATTGATTTATAATTCGATTTATAACATCGAATTATAAATTAATGCCGAGGTTAACAGAAAGTTGGTCTCGGGAATTGCTACTTGAAGTCTCAATTACGCCTAGTACAGTTTGTGCTCATCAGCAAGCTTTACTTCCCAATGTACTAAATGGGTATTGATTTTCGTTGGAAACTGGTTATCGCTATTAACACCTTCGTTTGTTCGTTATGTCGATCATCTAATAACGAATGAACTGTAACAGATGTACATTAACTTTTTACTGCTCTCAAAATATTTTTGCATAATTTAAAGAATATTTTGCCCTATAACTTGTAGTCATTTCAAGCGAAAGAAGAGCGATTCGCATGGATGTATATACTTACTTGGATAGTTGGATGGTCCGTTTTCACTGGTTGTGGGGACCCAAGCATAGTTTCATTCTTCGGAGTCTCTAGTTTATCCATTTTGGTTCCCTGGAGTCCAGAGGACAGCCTGGCCAAAGTCTGTCCCAGCTCGTCACCACAACAGCAGTCGCAGCCTTGTGGATCAGAGGTAGATTTGCCCTCATGCGACTTTGATACCAGGACGGTGGTGGATCCTGGTATTGGTTTAGTCTTAGCTAGGCTTCCTGATGGAAAAGCCGGACTCCTCAGCTTGGGAGACCCTGCTGAGGGATGATTTCTTCGTTGTATATCGCAGCCCGACACCCAGGAACACGTCCCAGTCACGATGAGGCGTAAACCGTTGGGCGGATGTATATATAACAAAAAAAAAATATAGCATAGGGAATCTTACAGAGAAGTTGAGCATTCATTACCATTAATAATAAAGAAGGCCATTGTGTGATTGGTTTCAACTGCAAAGTACTTGCAAAAAATATTCGCTTAATATCATTGGTGAAATCTGAAGAATTTTTCGTGCTAACGAAAACCCATCGCGTCAATCATCGTTATGTGGCGACACCGTGTTTCCACTCAAGCAAAAACCTTTCAGTAGTTTCCGTTCTGCACCTTTGCTTGCAACTTTCACGTTTTCCTTCACTTATCACTTAAAAACATGTCTTTTACAATTTTGCGATGTTCTTTAATCATGCATTTTCAGCTTCCCTCACTTGTTCCACTCTCACAAATTCCTTCCTTTCACTGTTCCTTTGGTTACTAATCACTCCTTCCCACTAGTTATCTCACAACGCTTGATACCAGCATGCTCAAGCATTTTCATGTCAACCGAAGCTTACCAGAAATGATACTAAAGCTTTTATCGTTCGTTATGTGATCGAATTAGCTATATGCAATAAATGATAGCTCTAAGCTTGACCCTTAAGCCCTGAAACTAAACGTTCAGCGCGAAAAATTTACAACATTAGCGATCGCGTTCATAGTGAATTATGCGCGCTGCCATGTCGCCTTCGCCTGTTCGCAGGTGCATGGTCGATTTATTGATTGGGCGAGCGTGCGCGCTGGTCACAATATGGTCAAGGGCTCCTATTATAACACTAAATAAGCAGTTGAATAACCCAGTTTTAGAGCTCAACATAAGCACTGCTACCATACCCTTCAAATAATCGGCGCGACCACTGCCTTTCTTTGTACCACCTATTCATAATTCGATTCACTGCTGTGAATTTAATAGTTTTCGATTTTCAGATAGCACAAGAAGTGGCCAAAAACGCAAGAAAACTCGAGTTTGTCGGGTTAGGTTTGTCATTGGTCAGCCTGATTGTCTCTATTGCGATATTCTCGTATTTTCGGTAAGTTTTACTGCTTAAGAACTCTTATGTTTAAGGTCGCAATTCGGACTTTGATTTTTCATGATTTTGATTTTTCAGAAGATTGCGAGTATTTCGCAATCTGTTACATTTACACTTGATGATAGCCATACTTATGGTTGTCATTATACGTCTTGTACTCTATATTGACCTAATATTCACCGGAACTCATGGTCCGCATCAAAATCCATCTGACGGCAGGACGATCAACACAATGGTGAGTTCTGCCCAGTTCCTCCTACTTTTTCCTCTAAAAAAGCGATTTCTTGAGAAGATTTTTATGAAAACAATTACGATATGTGAACTTCGATTGGTTGAGAACTGTAAGAGAGCAAATTTAGTGTGACATTTGGACTGATTGACTACTATCACAATGATGCTGAGTTATTTGCAAAACTCCGGACCGCATATATCTGCGGTGGGAACGAACGCGCTATTACCCTTTTCGGGGCTAACGCTTTCACCAACACACCATGCGGGTCCTTCATTTGGCCGGTCTCTTAGCTACCTTTCTATTGATCAGTGCCTTCAGCAGGAACTGGTCTGATAAGCCCAAACCAGCAGTGAATCCAGTTAAGCTGATGCTGTGGGTCATTTCTGATGGTACTGTTCAATAGAAAACTAGCCGAGAGACAGGCGAAACTGAGGACCCTCATGGTATGGTGGAGAACGCGTTGGCCTCCTGAAAGGGTAATAGCGCGTTCGTTCTCCACCGCACACATCTGCGGTCCGGAGTTTTGCAAATATCTCAGCGTCACTGTGGTTGTATTTCGTATAATACCCTGCCGTAAAAATAATAATAGGCAGTACATATTTTTTTTTCTTCACTGCATAACTTTTCAACACTTTGAAGGATTGTGGTTATGAATTGGTCTCTGGTCTTTTTCGGTAAAAAAAAAACCTGTTTTTCCAAGCCTGAGTACAGATATCGATCATCCCGCAGACACCTGCGGTCCGGAATTTTGCCAATATCTCAGCATCATTGAAGTTATATTTCGTAATATACCCTGCTATTAAAAAGAGTAGGCAGCAAATAAAACGGTTAAGATTGTGATTATAACTAAGCCTCAGCTTAACTGGGCTAATTGCCGATTTGGGTTTCCCAGATCAATCCGGTTGACTTGTGATTGCTGATGGCAAGTGATCGATAAAACTAGCTGAGAGACAGGCGAAACTGAGGACCCGCATGGTGTGGTGGCGAACGCGTTGGCCTCCTGAAAGGGTAATAGCGCGTTCGTTCCCCACCGCAGACACCTGCGGTCCAGAGTTTTGCAAATATCTCAGCAACGTTGTGGCAATAAATGATATTTTATTTTATAGTAAAAAGTCAGACAATCATGCACTAATTGCATAATTGCCCTGCTCACTCCGTCGTTCCGCCCGTTAGGGCGACGTTGCGCCAATTTTCTAGTTGTTTTTTTTTATTTTTCAGTGTGTATGAATCTCTATGGATATGCCTTTTAATCTAATGAGATAGATTTGGGCTTCAGTCAGGATTAAGCATAATCACAGGGATGCTGAGATATGAGCAAAACTCGGGATCTCAGTCGGACTTCGAATCCGCGATTGTCCTTTCAGGAACACACGTACTATTCACCCCACTAACAGAGGTTCTTGCTTTGCTTCAACCCATTAACGAGAATTTAGTTAGCACAATTCGACACTGAACCTTGTCAAGCTGAAGATGCAGTCGAAATCACAATGTCTTTCAGACCAGGCTCGAAGCCCGGCTGTAATTTTTTTTACTAATACCCATATGGTTGTATTCCACATCATGCCCTGACATGAAAAAAGCATAAACAGAAAATAAAGGTAAAATTAGGATTAAACAGACTTGCTTTGGAATACAATGGATTTAGTATGTCGAATTCAAGTCGTTAATCTTTCCAGTAATCCTTTTTTAGCCGTTTGTTTGCGAAGCGATGTATTCCTTATTGGAATATTTCAAAACTGTCGCATTCGGTTGGATGTTCTTAGAGGGTCTGCATTTGCACAATCAACTTGTGCTTACCGTATTCAACTCTGAACCACGACTTACACGGTACTTGTTGGCTGGATACGGTAGGTATACTAAAGACAATACCAATATATGTAGTTAAAATAGAGAGCGAAGAGCCTTGTATTGTAGACGAGTCGACATGATAGACTGCTTGAGCAAATATTCGTTTTCATAAAAAATACCGTTTAGGGATCCCTCTATTGCATACATTAGTGTGGCTCTTTGTCGTTATGATAAAGAAAGGTTTTAAGGTATGCCGTTTTCTATTTGATTATCGTTTCCTTTCAAAAGTAACTACCGATAAAGTCGTTTATCTCTTAGGTGGAACGATGCTTGGGTTCCTACTATTTGGAGCCGGAGTTCTGGATTCTTGACGGGCCGCGGATGGCGGAATTAGTTGTAAGTATGAACTAAGTCTTTGTATACGCATAGTTTTTGCAGCAAATGATGAACAGCCCAAAAAAATCACCACATCGCTACGCTAATTTTAGCCCGTAGGATTTTTTCCCGACCAAATCGAGGTCATGGGAAACGCAATGGTGTGGGATACCTTGCAGTACACCCACTAGTGGTCGAACTCGCTTTAGGACCCCTCAATCCCTCCATTACTCCGTGACCATAGGTGTGTCAGAGTTGCCTAAGAGAAGCTCCTTCCGGTCCAGAAAGGCTAGAGACTGCTTTCGGTGAAGACAGTGAACGCACTCATACAGAGCTATCAGAGCATTTTAGAGAACTAGTTCAATCGATGAAAGCAAATTCTTCAGAAAGTTTTCATGAACGGCGGACGCAAGCGAACTAATCAAACGAAAGAAGTGCTTAGTTCAGCACAATGTGTGGTGACATTTCATATAAACAAACAAATAGATATATAAAATTGGCGGTATCGTTCTTTTGTGAACTAAAAATACTCATCAGGCTTAGGGCTAGGGCGACAATTACATTAACTTCCATATACTAAAACTACGCAGCTTTAACTGCCTAATTTCACCTTCTTATTTCAGGTAAATTTATTTTTTATTTGTAACGTGATTCGTGTTTTATGGTCAAAAGTACGTGAAAGTCATAGTACAAGTGAATTGGATAAAATGAAGTGAGTTATTTTTCCGAACAATGTCTTCGTTCCAAATCTTCCTTGTATCATAGCAGTAGGGCGCGTGTGGCGCAGTGGTCGGAGGCGCCCTGCTATACACGCATGGGATTGATCACCGCGCCCGTGCCTCACCAAGTCTTCCATCCCTCCGTAATTGGTGAATTAGTACCACACTTGCCTGAGAGATTAGCAGCACCGGCTCGATACATCGGCGGACTACCACGAGTCATTATAAACGCTAAATATGCATTCAACCATCTCCAAGGATGCTTAATGATTTCGAATGCATGGCGCATCCTCAGGGTAGATCAACGCGGAGAGCTTTATCCTTTTTATAATTGCCGCCCTTGGTAAGTTATCAGAAAGATAAGGAATAGGACCAGATTGATTAAATACGAATTTCCTTTTGTTTTGCGTAGTAAAGGTGGTGACGATTACAGAAAAAGTGTGAAAGCAGCACTAATGTTGATACCGTTACTCGGCATACCGAACATCATGCAAACGATACCGTTTGCACCGACGCGCGACAACATTACGGTAACTTTGCCTTTGAACCAGAGAGTTGATTATTGCATGATGTATATCTGTTTCAGATTTTTGCCATATGGACGTATTTAGCGTCATTCACGTACATGTATCAAGGCCTTATGATTACAATCATATACTGTTTCACAAATAAAGAGGTATCGATCGGATTTATTTAATGCCGCCTTGTGGTTCTAGCTAATAATTGATGGAACGTTTTAATAGATACTATCACGGTGACATGATTTTTTAAGGTGAATATTGTATTGAAAGCGTTCTATGACCGTTATCGTCTTCAACACACCAGTCAACATGAGTTACGTCGAGGCTCGCGGTCTGTCGTATCGCATTATCAAGTCCGAAATGGTCAAATGACTGCTGTAAGTGTATGATTCAGATTACCAGTAACCTTATTTTTAAGTGGCTTAGAAAGAAGGAATAAGTGATAGCTGAACCTTTCTGATAGTGACTGATTTGCTAGATATCGCATTAGATTGTGCTGATTGCCATCTGTTCAAAAACACCAACTTTGAAAAAAAGATGAAGAGCTAAAACTGCTCAAAAGCCATTATATTTTTACAAATCTCTGCAGAGATAATGAGCTCTACTTTGCATGGAGTTAGTGATGTGTGTGATGAATGTATCCAAGCATTATTGATATGTGTCGCCTGACGTCGCAACAAATAGCTTGCCATCGCCAAGTGACGCTTCAGCCTAGTTAATCGATTTGGCGATAAAATTACATATGCCTCTGTGTGTCACTAATTGAGTGAATTGTCAGCAACAATGACAATCAGAAGATTTTATGATCATCGTGGACGTAGAACTAATTAACACATAACGGACTATTTGGACTCATACGTCCAAACACGGAGGTGCCATTGGGCGATTTGGACTTACATTGTTCACTTTGGGTTACAGAACTTTTTTTGCCATATTTTGCACGTTCAGTCGATAGTTAATAGAAAACAAGTCGGTGTGGGAGGGGTTGGATCAAAAGAGCGACTTAATGATGTACAAAAAAAAGCTTTCCGACAAGTTCATTGGCCGACAATTTGGCTGTCAGTTAACTGTCATTCAGTTCCGATCCCTATGATTAAACATGGTTATTGTAGAGAATATGCCGATACAAAAGAAAGCCGAAATAGTATAAGCATAAGCCAAAAGCTCTTTAAAGTGCAGCAATGTGTTTGCATAGTAGACCATAGCAACATTTAGTAAATCGTAGCATTGGATAAAAGGATAAAGGATAAAGCTCTCGGCGTTGATCAATCCTTGAGGGATGCACCATGCATTCGACTTCATTTAGCATCGTTGGAGTGACTAAATGTATATATGGCCTTTACAATGACTTGCGGTGGCCCGCCGATGTATCGTGCCAGTGCTGCTATCCTCCCAAACAAGTCTGATACCAATTCGCCGACCCCGGAGGGATGGAAGGCTTGTTGGGCCATGGGCGCGGGGATCGATTCCGCGTGCGTGTCGCAGTGGCGCCTCCAACCACTGCTCCACACACGCTTTAGATGCCATTGATACTCACAGAATGATTAAACGAAGTCTCTTCTACAATCCTGTCATGTTATTAGCACTTGAACCTCTCTAACTACTGAAAAACTTACTTTTGTTGCCAAAAAACCGGCGTTTCCATGAAGGCTGAAAATTAAGCACCGTCCCAATCGGAAGGGTCGCCAAACGCCGAGATTCCGTTATGTGTTGATATGGATGAACTTAGTGAATTTCGCGCATGTTCAAATCCTATTGTTAGCATAAATTGATATTATGCATGGAAAATGACGATTTTAGGGGACCGGATCAACGGATAACAACAACGACGTCTCGCTTTCACCGTACAGTCAACGATCAAAAAAGGGAAGTGGTGATTCTACAGTGAGGCTGATGTTGAGCATTTCGGTGCGCTTGTTGTTTATTGTAGCATTGATAATTCGTGACAAGAGCATGAACGACAAGACTACCAGCGTTAAACTAATAACGAATCTGTCTGGGTCATTGTCTTCTCGTTGGGTAATACGTAAATTTGTTCCTCGTCTGCCTTTGTCGTGGTTAAACTCGCTCGATAATCCATTGACTAAATGTCTTCTACTAACAGCTGGTACACCTTTGTTGTGAACGGTTCAAGTTAATGTAATGTGAACTACATTACCACTTCAACTTTCCTCACCTATGATTCTTTTTATTTAGCATTGTGGTGATGAAATTGTAAATAATAACGGCTATACAACTGCTAATGAACGAACACCACTCAAATCACAATGTGATTGCAACGACGAGATACGGTAATGCTTTAACGTTTCTTAATATCGTTTAGTTTTTCAGTTTTTCAAAATTCGGGCTATCTTTTAACAATCTTAAGAAATAATGATAGATTCCTCAGCCTTCGTCTTGTCGGGTTGGGATGATCTGACCGGTTTTTGTTATCTCACGCAAATAACGTTTTTATTGAATAAATTGGCAGTATGATATTTTTCCTGCTATCTTACCGAAACCAAACCTCTAATTACCTAATATTACAAACATCTTTTTCTACCACCTTCCAACGGTTTATCGCCTCATCGTGACTGGGAGGTGTTCCTGGGTGTCGGACTGCGATGTACAGTGGGGGATGAATCCCCACGGCAGAATCTCGCAATTTGAAGAGTCTAGCATTTCCATGAGGCAGGCCAGCTAAGAGTAAACTAATATCAGGATCCGTTACCGTCCTGCTACTAAAATAGTCGACCGTGTGTGGTGGTGACACCCTGGAGCAGACTTTGACCTGGCTGACCCCCGGACTCCAGGGAGCCCCAATGGCTAAGCCAGCGAAACTCCGAAAAGTGGAGATTATGCTGGGGTCCGCACAAACAGTGAATACGAGCCATCCAAGTATCCAAACAAGTATTTGTAACAAACATCTCCATCCATTATTCTTTCGCTATCTGTCTAGACAAGACCGCGGAGTGTCCCATAAATGGCGCATTCACTGGATATACTGTCTCATAAAAGATGCAATAACTGTACTAAACAATGCTCATGGCAAAGCTCTTATTTGCAAACTGTTGAAAGTAGAATAAAAAAGCTACTTACAGAACATCATCGATGCTTAACGGACAACATATTGTATAGCGATCATCATCAACTAGTCTTACTTATCCGAGTTCTTGTTCCCCTTTGTCTTTTACATTGTCATCAGCGGATCGATATTTGATCGTTGTATGATCAATCATAATTCGCTTTATTCTGTAGGTAATGTTTGGCATCTCAATGACATCTCGCTGGACACATGTATTACTGTTTTTCGTGTTTATCAGTTTATTATTATTATTATTTCCATTATTCTATTATTATTATTACTATCTTCATCAACTGCTTAATTGTTCAACAAAACGGTAAAACCGACACGGGTCTCCTGTTCAGTTTTTTCGAGTTGTCTCATCGATTTATTCATTTTTTCACTGCAAACTTTTTAAGCATTTACATCTTTTTATTTCTATCTCTCTTTCCTTCTTGTTGCTCTCTATCATATTTCCTTCATCAGATTTTGCTTCACGATAACAATGAAAGAACATCTCACAGCTCATGTCACACTGTAAATCGCTCATTGAATGATTATGGATTGTTTGTTGATTAACTAGTGATTCGGAATAGTCATTTTTCACTCGTTATAGCACAGGGTCAAATTCAGGTGATGATGATCGTTCTGCGCCAAGCACTCGCACACGCACATTCATCTGATCAATAAACATCAATACATCAAATGCGCTTTTCTCACACTGGCCATTAGGCACCAATCGGAGTCTTTATTTCGTGACTGGACCATCAAGTTTTCTGGTGGCGGGAATTCATAGGTTGTATTTGATAACAAGCGGAGACGAACTTTTATCAGGGTATCGGAATGTTACTGGTTGGCGATATTCACGGTGTGGATGTCCCATTGCAATGACGTTGCCATTATAATGTTCGTTTGATCTGATTTTTTTCATTAGGGATAAAACAGTACCAAAAGGATTTCCATACACAAAGCCTCCTTACTCTCATACCGATCAATACTAATCGATTCATATGATATGTGTGGCGTATATCCGACCAGTAAGTGTCGACGAGAGTCAACCTCAATGCTCGTCTGACGTTGAGACTATTTCTAACTGTCAAATTATTACGGGCATTGTGATTAATGAAATATAATGCTTTTTCTATTAAAACAACAAATGACTAATCATCTATGCGACATTTCTATGTGATGATAAAAGGCGAAAACAATATTACTTAAATGTTAACCTTTTATTTCCTGCCTACTATAATTTTCCACGGCAGATATGATGTGAATTACAACCACAACGATGTTGGGATATTCTCAAAACTTGGAACCTGGACCAGATGAAACCATGATTTCCATTCCGAGGGCTCGCGTATTATACACAGGTCTTTGCTTTGCGTTACTCTCAGTTAGTTTTCTATATTACGCTCCCATTAGCAATCACCCGTCAGCGGAATTCATCTGGGCAGTACAAACCGGAATTGAACCAAGTTAAGCTGAAGTTGTAGTCCAAATCAAAATCTTATTAACTTTAGCGCGTTCTTAAAATCAATACTAATAGATGCCTAGCAAAACTGCCCAAATAACGGATATTATAAGGTCCATCACTTTTATAGGAGTCACGGAGTAAGTTTACGACTGAAAAATCGTCTTTTTAAATGGAATCATGTAGGGTAGTCTAGCTCTTAGAGGTACCCTGTAACGCACACTTGGCCTTTGGTTCAGTCCCATGTTTCCAGCTCACCGACTCTTCAATCCTTCCGGGATGGGCAAACTGATGCCAAATTTGCCTTTGAGGAGGACAGTACTAAGTTTGTACATTGATAGGTCATCGCAGATTATTGTATAGGCATTCATTCATTCGTATGCATTCACTTACCTCTACAATGCCCGATGAAGTCGAAGGCACGTCGCAACCTTTAAGGACTGATCAACTTTGGACGCGTTATCCTTTATTTAAGCGAAATCATCATCGACGTCGAATAGATCGATACCATAAAGCTGTAGAATATCACATGATTTATCGGAGTCATTCCCACAACCGACTTTCTATTAACTTCTGCATTGATCGAATAATTCTTTATATTCTAATTGAGTAAACACGAGGTATTATTTTATCCTTTACTCACGAACAAGCTGGCGTTTCGGCGCGGTTCCGCCTTTTCCGAGCCTGGAAAGGTCAAGTTGACTGCAATTTACCGAGCTAAACATCTCCATAACGTAACAGCTTGTTTTAACCAAACACTTTTGTTATGGAGTCTATTTGGTTATGGAGTCGTTTGGCTGGGTAGATTGCAGTCACCTTTCCAGGCTCTGGGGAAGGCGAAATCTGCCGAAACTCCGGCTTTACCGAAATAAAGAGTAAAATAAGTGTTTGCTCAATAAGAAAATAAAGTATCACAGAGATTGTTTCGGAGATCTCATATATGAGAACTGGAGTGGTATAAACTGGGAGTGAAAGCTCGATGATCGGCAGCTATTTCATCTTCGTTTCTCTGATGAATCGCAGTTGTGGAACGCATCCTATCCGATTCGACAGCGCCTTTACCAAGTTCATTTTAACGTAGCATCACCAGAAATCAACGTCTACGGGAAGTGGATTGATGATGCTCGATTCTAGACCAATGAAATCAATGTTTTCGATTACTTAACACGACTCTCCTTTCTTCACAAACACTCCAATGCAAAATGGCAAAGTACTTCGCCTGCCTTTAATCACTAGGACCTATATGAAACTTAGAAGCGCTACATGAACAAAGAAAGATGGAAAACCCTTTTTTGATATTTTGTTAACTTTGGCATTGATCATTAACTTTACCTATTCTTCATGAAATGGTATAAGATTCTTAATGTAATGTCCATTCCGCAGTGGTTAACGCCTCAGGAGATTCACAGCTTGAAAAGGCCCAAGCTTACATTCACGGTCGTAATCTGGCCAAATGCTTTCATAGCTCCAACGAAAAAATTCATAACCTATGTTTCAATCGTATAGCAGACCACTTCTTTAAAACAACCACCATCTGTTTCTGTCATGTCCACTTTGTAAAAAGGATCAATCCTAGGAGCCCATAAACTTAGAGATTAGAAAAATAACTTTACTGGCACCTGTTGGAAAAACTGGGCAATGAAAGGAACGGAAATATAGAAGATACAGAGAAAGTCTGTTATGATGATTATTGACAAAAATAATTTATTTTTAGAAAGAGACATGTTTTACATCACCATCATCACCATGTACAAAACATTAATACCCGCATGTATATATCAATAATGTGCCATAAAAACTATCAAAAACCAATGTAAATCGATAGAAAGCCAGTCCATTTGACCGAATAATGAACGAAAATCTCATTTTAAGAACAAACAGATACGGTAAGATATGCTGCAAGAGACCAGCTGTAGGAATAAATGATGAAGAGCTTTGAGGGAAAGATTCAAATATCATTTTTTGCCGCCAATGGAGTACGACTCGTCGAACAACTACTTCGAATTCGCCGTCGATCTCCAGAATCGTTGCAAGCGAGCGGAAGTCCTGACATTTCATAGAAGAATACGAAATGTGATATATTACTTTCTTACCATTTAACGAAAGTTATAATTCAAAAAATTATTGCAATTACGTGGACAACTCGCAAGTATAAAGGTAAGAAAACGTCTATGTAAGCTCAAAAGGGCGCGTGGAGCAGTGGTCGGAGGCGCCCTGCGGCACAGACATGAGATTGATCACCGCAGGCTCACCAAGCCTTCCATCACTCCGAGGCCAGCAAATGGTACCAGACCTGTCTGGGAAGACAGCAGCACCAACTCGATACATCGGTAGGCCACCGTGAGTCATTGTAAAGGTCAGATATGCATCCAATCACCTCCAAACGATGCTCAATAAAGTTGAATGCATGGCGCATTCGTCAGGGATTGATCAACTCCAAGAGCTTAATCACTTAGCTTTATGTAAGCTCACTCTACTATTTGCTTTGCCGTTAATATTTTACTGTTAAACTTATGTTGTGTTAACGAAGCTCATTTTTAACGCTGAGCTAATATGAAGCGCAGATACACCGTTAGCATCATAATAAAGTAATAAACATTTCAGCTAGAAAAAAAAAAACAACTGCACGAACTGTCAAATGAAATATTACAACCAATAAATGGATCATACCGCACTTAAAAAAGATGACAACAATTGAAAATACTTACCGATGCTGTCGTAGGTCCTGTGGAATTTCTTCGGGTTCTTCAAGCCGAGTTGCTGATTGATCGCCATGCTCCGTAGTTTTTCCGGAAATAACTGCGAGTACGCGTAGTCCTCATGACGGCATTTGATCATTGGCAACCCGCGAAAGACGTAACGGAAACCGATACGGAATCTACAAAGGCATTTTAAAGATTGGAAAACTTTAGTTTGATATCTTTCAAAAAGAAGTAGTATCATTTATCTTTTCATATTTTGTTAAGATCAAATGCTCGCCTCCAACCCTGTAGATTTACCGGCTCAGCATAGCAAGATGTTCTTGGTTAAGAAGTAACACTATATAGAAGAGGATTCCTTACCCCAATACGTTACCAACCCTAGACAGAGCTTGAAATCTCAAACGCAAAGGACGATGAGGAAGGAAACCACCCGCATTGAGATCTCTTGCGCTCTAGAAAATCCCAATCGGTGATGTAAAACAGAAAGAGTCCATCGTTTCTATCAGAAAGCCCAGCTAAGAGTGGATCAGAGTAAACGAATACCAGGATCGACCACGGTACTGATATCAAACTAGTCGCGTAGTGGAAAATCTCCCTCTGATCCACAAGGGTGGCGACTGCTTGAGGTGGTGACGACCTGTTTCAGACTATGACTAGGCTGACCTTGGCTTTCCGGAAAACCACAACGGCTAAACTAGTAGAATTCCGAAAAATTGAACTTTTCTGGAGTCCGCACAATAAGTGAAGACGGGCCATCCAGGTATCCAAGTATCCAAGTATGTTTATTTAATCAAAGGTAACGCTTTGGCGGGGATTTTTCCTTTTTCAAAGTCTAGAAACGTTAAACTGATGCACTAATTTACCAAACTAAAATCTTTCATAAAACTAACGAAAGGAACTGGAAACTCAAATTTTTCCTGACTAATTATTCTAAATTTAGACATGACGGGAAAAATTTTGAAGCAGAAGCCACAATCTTAGCACGGGATCTATATCTCCAACGCTTAAAACGCTCGAGTTATTTGGAATAAATTCTCAAAATACAAAAATGAACCACAGGCGAGGAATGTGCTGTTAACACGCACGATTCCACGCAATATCTTGGACCGATTTTTCGACATGAACCAGGTTGGTCTCCGCCAAAAAGTGGGCTGCTTATAGAAGGCGATGAGCATTTGAAGAAAATGTTTCCAATTTGAGCGCCACTTTGTTTTCAAGTTTCTTTCGTTGGGATTATGAAAGCATTTTCCTGGATTATTTTGGTGTACCAAGTTACCAATCCGTGCCCTGTAATTATAGCGAAATAAGCATCATGATAAAAAAGGATAAAGCTCTCGGCATTGTTCAATCGCTGACGGATGCGCCATACATTCGATTTCATTAATTAGAGGAGACTGAATGCATATCTGGCCTTTCCTCGCGGTGGCCTACCGATCTATCGAGCCAGTGCTGCTATCCTCCCACACAAATCTGGTACCAATTTACCGACCCTGGAGCGATGGAAGGCTTGGTGGGCCATGGGCACGAGGATCGATTCCATGTGTCCGTTCTAGGACGCCTCCGACCACTGAGCCACACCCGTCATAATAAAACGGATAAATATTAACAAATAACAACCTCGTCTGTGCTTGTTTAGAAAACAACGAATTGTTGATCAATGCCGATATTAATGAAGGGTCGATTCTGGGAATCAATAAAACATTCGAAAAACAAGGCTTGCAAGTTTTTTGCCAAAATTTTGAAAAAATTTCAATCACAAAATCATTTCGTAGCAAAAGTATTTTTACTGAGAAAACTCTGTGATTAGAGCCTATTCAAAGAGAAAATTGAGGAAGTAGTGGAATGAACGGAATGTCTAAATGTAGGAAGTGGGAAGAAGGGAGCGACATAAATTTCTATGAAGCAAATGGAAAAGGAAAGCATAGCAGAGCCATTTAAAGGAAGAATGTTAAACTTTGGCTCATCGATAAACTACTCACCTTTCATTCGAAAAACAATAAATGATAGGATTATAGGCACTACTGCTCATCGCTACCCAATAGATTCCAAGATAGATGTATTTCCCTGTATTCGGATCCTTGAACTCCATGAATGACTGCAAGCGATTCAATCAATACACATCGAATATGCGGCAGTTCGGAAAGTATTGACTGACGCATACAACGCCATTGATTAGTTGGTCTTTATAATTATCCTGGAGCGCAGAAAATAAGAGATTCTTTGGCATCACAATTTGAATACCTAATACTTTAATTTAGTGAAATCCCAGGTATTTGGTCTAGAGTTCCTCCAAAATAAAACCCAGCGCGCTTTAAAATGCAAAAAATAGGTACCCAGTGATTAAAAAGCTTAGACGTATTAGTGAAATCTCGAACGAGGACCGAATCTTCGACGCTATTTTTATCATTTTCAAACTAATGCTCTTTATGTACCACTTAAAATGACCTCTTCAGACCTTCAAGCTAAAAACAAGGTCTAGCAGAAGTCCACGACAGCGATAGCTAAGCAAGAAAAGTATCTACAATGACAATCTAATAATTACTTATCGAGAGTACGAAAAACTCTATTTTCAGGTGGATTTTTCAGGTATTCAACTTACATTCAACCCGAAAGTGTGGTAGAGATGATATGGCAACCAACAGAACATGAACGTGATTACCATTAATCCTAACATCTTCACAGCCTAAAGAAATACTGTTACCATACCCACTCAACGAATCAAATGAACATTGATCGATTACGGTACCTTATTTTTAGCCTTAGTGTGATTGGAACGCTTTGAATTGTGGTCCGCAGCAACGTCTGTCGACCTTTAACAAGATCATTTCGCGCATGATCCAACCAATGCTCGAATCAATAAGTCGACAACCGACTAGAACAAATTTTTCCAACCATCAAAACTTTAGTATGTTGTTATTATTGGTTTTATTCTTTGTAGTGGATTGTGATCCCTAAGTTGCATATTTTCTTCTCAAATAATAGGAAGCATCTCAACGGTTTACCGCCTCACTATGGCTGGGAGGTGTTTCTGGGTGTCGGGCTACGATGTACAGCGGAGAGATTCTTCACTTCCGTAGGGTCTCCCAAGCTGACAGGGAATCTGGCGTTTTTCCAGGAAGCGGAGCTGAGAGTAAACCAGTACTAAGATCCGCCACCGTCCTGGTATCAAAATAGTTGCATGGTGGCAAATCTTCCTCCTGGAAAGATCCTCAAGGGCGGCATCTGCCTGTGGTGGTGACGACCTGGGGATGACTTTGCCCAGGATCACCTCGTAACTTCAAGGGAATACCACGGTTAAAGCAGCAAACTTCCGAAAAAGAGAGATTGTGCTGGGACTTGCACAACCAGTGAGAACGGGCAGTCCAAGTATACAAGCAATAGTAGGAAGCGTTTATTGGTTTTCTCAAAAATTGTTGCACATAAAAAGGAAAAGTTGGATAAGAACTCGACGATATATTGCACATGATAATTAATTTGCTTGCCAGATTTTTTAATCCACTGTGATTTTATTCAATTACTACTAATTAGAACTGAGGAGCTCCTAACCAACCTGAACGCACAAGCGATCAAGGCAAATGTGAACGACAGCACAAATAATGGCAACGCGTACTGCAAAAGAAATAGGAGATGATCGAATCTGAAACAATCGATAATCGATTTGTGTCTGAATAAATTTTCATGCACTCAATAACGACTGTGTTTACAACAACGACCGAATTTTATTCGAAAACTCAATAATTCACACTGGGCAAACTTTCCTGCGAACAGCTTTTCTTTTTAAAAGAGTGGAGACCTACATCGGATGAGCTGGAGCAGAACATGCGTGTCGAATTGATGCCGTCTTCGTTACGACATTATATAGATATAACACATTTACCTAAACATTGATTGATTGTCAACAATAGATAATTGGTTTTTGGAGAAATCGATAGCCCATAAACGTACGGAAACTATTATTATAAGAGATTTGTGTATGCGACAATAGAAAACCACCCCTTCTATTGGGAAGAAATGACACGAAATGGAAAAACATGCCGAGTGGATTCGATCATGATCACCTTCCCTTTACGTTCTTGCGAAGTAGTTAAAATATTTAAAGGTATGAATTAGGAAGTAAAAGACCACAAACATGTAAAATCTGAAAAGATACCGTAGCAGCAAAGGTAAACGGTAGAGCGGTTGCGGTAGACATTGCCCAAATAACGGCGATTGTGAAGAGTGAGCAACGTCGTGAAAGCGGACGTTTCTTCAATGGCCACACGACCGCTTTACATCTGAACTGGTCTCAGTGCATAAATTCGAAACCACGATCGATATAGACAACTAATGCTCCACAGTAGTAGAAAACGATTTGTTGAATATAAGAGAACTTTGCAAATTTTCCAAAATGAAAAGTGAACCATTTGTTATGACACTAAGGACATGTAACCTCCGCAGACAGTACTGGCCAAGTCTTGAGTGATAATCAAGCCTATAATTCTATGTTTACCATTCTCAAATTATCACTTACAAGCTACTAGTTCAAAATACCGAACTCTCTAACGCGGTCGTCCAAGCGTCAGCAAATGATTCAAATATTTTTCTAGAGCTGATGGCACTCCTGGTATAAACGATCTTGAGCCAATTTTTGAAAAATCGACTTTCCCTTAACTTTGGCATGTCTAATCAATGTTCATACTTTTAATGATAAGCTAACACGAGGTTGATGAAAGATTTGTTTACTAATCCGAATAAACCATTTAAGCGAATAAAGTTTTTTTCTTTCATTTGCCTGTTGTTAGCTTATCAACGAAAGGACACGTACCGATCTTGAGCCACTTAGCCGCGCCTTTATAGATTTTGCATCTTCAAGTAATGAACAGAGGGCAGGTAGCAGACTCACCAAGCCCTCATCTGTCCGTGGTCGGAAAATTGATACCGGGCTTGTCCGGGAAATAAGAACTCTCTACAGTTAGATTGGTAATGCTCTAGTCTGTGCGAACTCAACGGAGTATCGACTCGACCAGCACTTTACGACATTCAAGATGAAATGAAAATCCTCAAGCAGCAGCCGAAACCACAAGTAAAAGTTGGAAGATCTTCGTGAATAATGGATGCAAGGAGGCGAATGGAATGTGAGAAGAGCTGGGGTTCACACAGTATATATGAAAGACGGGTCGTATAAAATAAAATAAAAAAGTGGTGAATATGGCGTTAAAAGAAGAAGCTCGTTACCCTTCAACAGATGAAAGGGGCAGCACGAGGTCATTTCTGACTAACGATACCTCACGAGTAGTACGCAAAAGCTCAGTCAGGTAGTCTGTAAGTGATTTCAAATTTCCGGTACAGATCTTGGTGAAGTGCCAGTGGCTATCTTTGTCTTAATGAAAATATTTGATATTTGATACTTGGACGGCCTATCCTCATTAGTAGTGCGGATGGGCCGTCCAAGTATCAAATATCAAATATTTTGTTTCCTTAAGCCTGGATTCCTTGGATAGGCGCAGTGCAGGATACCATGGGTCATCTGTAAGAGCAGCTAAGCCATTGTGGTTCCCTGGAATCCTGAGGACAACCTGGCCAAACTCTGCCCCAGGTCGTCACCACGACAAGCAATCGCAGCTCTTGTGGATCAGAGGGAGATTTGCCACCATCCGACTTTGATAGTCTTAATGAAAATAGTAAAAATAAAGTTACGTTCACTAATCAGTAAGTGCATTGCTGCACATATTCCTCTTTCTTGCGTGAATGGAAATAACTGGATAACTAAGACGAATTACAACCATGAACGAAGTCTTTGTCCAGACTCCTACTATGTTGCTTGACCACAGGCAAATACAAGCGATACGAATATAAGTGTTAGCTGATTCGTGTAGGTGGTTGTGCAGAACCAAGTAATTCGGTTCTAGTACGCACTTTCTGGATTCCTTGGATAGGCGCAGTGCAGGATACCATGGGTCATCTGTAAGAGCACCTCCAGTTTTTGCATACCTGAGAAGGCTTCTCCCAGATAAGTCGGGGTTCGACTTGCAGACTGCAGACTGATAGGAGGCGGGATCAACTAACTTCTAAGTTGAACTACTGGCCTTAACGCATTATTGATGAGTAGTTCTAATAACTGGATTTTCCATGTCGCTCTTTTATTCTATTAATATAAAGTGTTGACTTTCTGCAGGCAATAAGGAGTATTTCTTTCGCATCACGAATCTCATTTCAAGCGCGAATGCAGCTGAATAAGTGAGATTTTGTCGAGAAGGACACGATGATAATCTCTAAGCTATCGTTAGCTGCCGTCACTGGTGCGCTTGCACGAAAATTGGGAAAGTTTGAATTTCTCTTCTAGTTGCTTTTTGCTATTTAATTTTGTTCCTTTCCACAACTCAATTTTTCTTTCCTGATCGCCCACTAAGGTGAACGGTTTCTGTGTACAAATTCGGCAGCTGCTTGAGGATTTCTGGCGATCTTCATTAGTCGCAACGGATGGTGGTTAGTCAACTCGATTTTCACTCGCTTTTTGGGATAGGTTTGTTCGAGCTTCCTTACGTCTTCATCACAGGCAGGTGCTCTCTTTTGAGAGACAGCTGGCTCGAGAAGAGTTTGGTATCATTTTCCAGACCCTGGAAAAATTGAAGGCTTGGTGGGCCTAAGTCTCTATAAAGCAAAGTTTCTGTCATAATTCTGTAAAGCTGTCAATCCCTCTATGTCTTATGAAAGGTGAAATTTCTCGGCGTTTAGTAATAAGCCAAAGGTTCGTTGGGGATGTGTCAATGGTTCAATAACTTCGACATGATACCGAATTATAACCACATTATTGTAGCAGGTTAAGATTTTCAGATTATTGAAGTTCTAAAAACTTCATTACCGATCCCAACTGAGCGCCATCATGGAGAAAACGGAAACCGTTGTTGGAGCGATTCCAAAAAACGACGTTAGAATACAAATATCACCATACCTAAAAATATTTCGCAAATTCAAGATAGACATAAAACGAATAGATCTATGTATTTGGTTCTATTTCGATTCGGAGTAATTGTTTAACACAAAAAACTGACTTAACACATCAGTAGGTCTTAGAAAGTCATTGCACAAAAGAGATATGTCACGCATCCATCGTTACGATATACAAGAGGAGCCGACTGCATAGCAATGCCCAATGGGATTGCTCGATGTTGAGCACTTCAGCTCCCACCTTTATTCTATTATGATTTTCAATTAAGACTTTTACAGAAGAAAAAGTTGAAGACGAATGCAAACTTTGCCAAGCTTGCCACTTTGGAAGTCCGATGAAGAATATACAAGCGTTACGACCAGCAGCTATCATAGCAAAAACTTGGTCAGATGGTAGCAATCCTTTTCCGCATCTACCATACGATCCAATGAATTTTTCAGAAGATAACTGCAGACAAATAAATGAAGAGTCCTTCTCAACATGACAATTCGTAGAATCGACATCTCAAGTAAATGAAGTTCACCATTAAAGCATTGTTTCCTCCAGTGGACTCGACTCGATGTGTCAACGATCCCACACAACGTGACAATGACCACTGACACAGATAAAAGCGCTTCTGAGGAAGGCCAAGGTACCGAAACCTTAGCCGAATAAAAGTTTTATACCAACCTGGTTTTATCCCAGTCACGTAGAAAATTATCAGCTCGTAGGGTAACAAAAGAAAAGTTTGCAACTCTCCATGGTAATCACCTTGCACAACTTTTTAATAGAAATGTCAGAAAATAGATAAGAAAGAAAAAGAATTTGATAGGTCTCTAAAGAGTTCTGATGGCAAGTCAAACTCAATATCCATGTGATGAAGTCATTAAAGCCTGTAGAGGGGGTGCTCGGTTTTTCTCGAATTACATTACTAAGCGAACAATTCAAATACGCCAGAATTTTTACATGGAAAATTGCTCAAGGGTATCGGACATTTTTCCATAACTAATAAAACGAGAGGAGATAAAGCTAATGACGCCGGTCTCTCTACCTCTGGGAATGCTCCATGATCCATCGATTGACTCGTAGGCAGCACAGGTCTGGTTTATCCGATCTGAATCGGTTCCGAATGACTTGTTAGAACCTGCTGATGTATAAGGTCATCACTTTTGCTTTCGCTGATAAGTATGGTGCCAGTTTTTTTTTTACTACAGAAAAAGGAAAAGGCGGTGTGGAAGCCGAACTAACGACCGATCCGCCAGCGATTATTGCAAGGCAGCTTTAAGCACTACGCTTGATAGGATCTTCAAAATCGATACTAATAAATACAGTTTATGAGAATTTTTTGAAAACGCTCTTCGAGAAATAAGGTAACAGCGGACTCACCACCAGTCATGGTAGAGATTGAATGTCCACGAAGTGCCGACGTTGAATACGGCAATCAGTAAATCGGCAAATGCCATGTTGAACAGAAAATAGTTAAATCCATAGTGCATCACCCAAAAAACTATTCATTACTCTACGGGTTTCTAAAAGTGATCTAAAAAAACCAGTTCATTAAAATGTGACGTAACTGGAGTTTAAGAAATTAAAAACTTCCAATGCTTATTGACAAAAAGGAACCTTATCTTGATAAAAGGATAAAGGATAAAGCCTTCTGCGTTGATCAATTCCTGATAGATGGCAGATGGGTCATGCAATCCACTTCATTAAGCATCGTTTAGAGGCGATTGAATCCATATCTGGCCTTTACAATGAGTTGCGGTGGCCTACCGAGCCAGTGATGCTATCCTCCCAGACAAGTCTAGTACCAACTTGCCGACCCCGGAGGGACAGAAGGATTGGTGGGCCATGGGAGTGGCAATCGATTCCACGTGTGTCGCAGTGGCCCTCCAACATGCGCCCCTCGAGTAAATGTTACAGCAGATTTTTTCTTGCATAAAAACTGATGTATTGGAGAAAAGAAACGATTTGATGCTCAACTATTATTGAAACTATTTTTTAACTCGGTATCAGCGATATAAAATGAAGCTTTTTCAAGGTTTACTAAACTCATCCAACATTTAATCAACAATTTTTACTTAATATTTATTCAAAAGGGAAAATTTTCTTACTTTATGTTTGTAGATGATCCACATTACGACACAGTTCCCAACTACAGCAACCGCCATTAAGGAGATGAACATAATACAGGCCAGCACCTGGACTTCGCTGAGAACAATTCGTGTTATTCATTCGGTTATTGATTTCGATATTGATTTTTTCGTTATTATCAATGACATTAACGTATTTAATACTGATCGATATTAATGTTAATGTTAATGCTGAGCTCATTAACATTGAAGAATATAAAGAAGTATAGAAACTTTCACGTTGAATTTTAGTAGAAGCAGGTGTGCAGGACGAAAAAAAGATGACAACTATTTAAAATTACTGCGACTTTATCTCCTAATTTCATAGACCGTAGTAGGTTCTCATTGAAGAAATTACTTCAAAAAATGAGGAAAACTTATAGAACGTCTCTTTCAAAACCTACTCGTTATTTTATGAAAGCGTTTACGTGAATCCTTCCAACGGCTTACCGCCTCATAGTGGATGATAGGTGTTCCTTGGTGTCGGGCTATGTACGGCAGGAGTTTCACCTCTCAGCATGGCTGGGGACTCCTAAGCTGAGCGAGTTCGCCGATTCCATCAGGAAGCCCAGCCAACGTCAAACCTATACCAGAAGTCCACTATCATCATGGTACCAAATTACTGAAATGACGGCAAATATCCCTGACCCACAAGGGCGGCGACTCCTTAAGGTGTCGACGACCCAAGGAAGACCTCGGCTAGATTGAAATAGGAACTCCTGGAAACCATAATGGCTAAACCACCAAATGTTTAGAATAAAAGTCATGTTGGGACGGGCACAATAAGTGAAGACAGGCCATTCAAGTACTCGAGCATCCAAGTATTTATGAGAACCCCAAGCGCGGCACGATTCGTCAGAGTCACGCAAGGGTCGCGCAGCTTTGACAATAACCGTTAAGAGGTTATTAAAATGCATGTAGTGTGCAATGTCACTTAGCTGAAACCCTTCTTGAAGTAGGCAAAACTTACGTAGTAATAATTTATTCGTAAATACATAAGAAATGACACCAAGTCTTCTACGTGACTTATCTTATTTTTGTTTCTATTGCTTATTTACTTGGATACTTGGACAGTTCGTTTTTACAAGCTGTGCGGGTCTCAGCATAATCTCCATTTTCTCGGTGATTTCCTGATTTAGGCACTGTGGTTTCCTGGCATCGCGAGCTCAGCTTAGCCAAAATCTGCCCTAGGTCGTCACCACCACATGTTGTCGTAGCGCTTGTGGATCAGTGGGAGATTTCCCATCACACAACTACTTTGATACCAAGAAGGTGACAGATCTTCGGATAACGCCGGACTCCTCAGCGTGGGAGACCCTGCCGGGGTGACGAATCCTCCGCTGTACATCGCAGTCCGACACCCAGGAACACCTCCCAGCCACGATGAGGCGGTAAACCGTTGGGAGTGTTTCTATGTTTCTATTGCATTGTTGATAAAAACACACTGCAAGTAGGCATTTTTTAAACTGTTTGACACTCACATAATATCATCTTCAGCTTTATCACAGTAAAAACCTGTGGCGATAACTTCCGGTATGGTGAAATTCCACTCTTCTCGTAGACATACGGCTTCACCAATACGTTCTATCTCCATCAACCGTGACATTATCTACGTAATCAACAGAATTACTTGGTAGAACAGAGGTATTCTAGTCGAAAATCGATAATAAGACAGGAACAAAGCCAGGTAACGTTAGCATAATCGTAAGAGTCTCATATCAACGCCAGACATAAATGATATATACGGAGATGAATTCGACATGTCAGTGATGGAATTAAAATGAACAGAAGAACAAGACTATAATAATGTCTAATTTTATAACACTGCGCTATACATAAAATATCATAAATATCTTTTTATCTCACAGAGGTGCTTTGTACAATGGTGATGAAGTTCCTTGGGAGAAATATGAGATTTCTAGTTCGATTCCGCTCCTGACAATTAAGTCTGGTATTTCTTCGCAACGGTCTCGTTTCAAACAGACTTGCCTGTGGAATTTCCTTAAATCCACAAATCTAAGTGACTGGTGTCACGACATTCATGAAGAATGTTCAAGATCTTCCTCATCTAGGACACAAAATTTGGAAAAGGTAGCCGAATACGTACGAAAATCAACAACCTCATGGATGGCGGATGTGAGAAAGTGAATCGAATAAGAGGACTGTTTGGATCCGTATATCCTGTGAAAACAGATTTCTTTTTTAAAAAAAAAATTCACACGATCCGTTTTTCACACGTATTCTGCGAATCCAAGCATTCTTGCTCTCCATTGGTTCACTCGCTTCCATCATCCACGAAGCTCATCGAACATTTCGCTTGTGAGTTCGTCTGCTGCTTGAGGATTTTCTTTTCATCAAGAATGTCGTTAAATGTTGGTCGAGTTCATTCTCTTTGGAGTTCTGAGATATCAGGGCTAAAAGGTGTCTGCCTGGATTTACAGAGACTTTGTTTTAGTAGACAGGTATGGTGCCGATTTCGTTGCCGCAAAGGAATGAGAGGCTTGGTGAGCTCGACATGTGTCGAGCCGGAACAGAGCTGGTGATCGGCACCACTACCACTGTGCTACCCATCTCTTAATGTGTCTTACAAAGAGTATAAAATAAAATTTAAGGCAAAGAAGGATACTTGGAAAATTTGAGCTCGTAAAATAGAAGAAGTATTCAAATTTGAGTGGTTATGAAACTACGAGGATTTGGAAATATGAATGTTCGATAAGATGGCTTATCGATAACCTTAAACTAGATTAAGAAGGAAACATTGTTGCGACTGGCGTTTGGACGACGTCGATAACCTTAACAATGTAATTATTGGAATCAATTTTCGACGAAACAGCCTTGGAGCAAACTAATCAATAAGTCAATGTATTGACTGTTCATGCAGAAATGAAGCAAGTCAATTTAATCAAGTACGAGTCTATTCTGTTATGAAGCAAATCTGCTTTCCAGGACGTTCGCAAACATCAGACCAGCCAACTATAAAGAAATGCGTCGTTATAAATCTACGAAGTTCGTCTGTTATAAGGTTAACCATTTCGTGACCGTACATCTTGATCTCAACGCACACCTCAAGTGCTCTTCAATGGCACACCGTGCGATAGGTCAGTCATGCAAAAATGAACAGGGTAGTGAAGTGTAGAAACGTTTGCATAGCAACAACTACTTGTGCACGGAGTTGACTACACTGGTTCTGTTTAAGGGTTTTTAAATGGATACATTATTTTTTTTAATACATAATACATATTTTATGCCAGGACTGATCTAGGGATAAGGAGTTTTCGGGTACCTTCCAGAAACCCCTTTCGCACGCTGAAGTGAATCAAACATAAAAATCACGAAATAGATGCAGAAATGCACTTCAACTGTCACGCGAAGTCATGCGGAAAGTTAATAACTTCATGGCTAGATAATGGATGAATCTTTTGCCATCACACCAGAAGTGTCCAGGAACATGGAAATATACGCAGAAGAATATATAGCAGATATATGGGAGTTAGAAAAACATGGGAAAATATGAAGGAACCTAACTGTAGAATGGTAATCTCAAGAAACCAGAGCGTCGTGCCTCCTACGCGAACTTACAAACCGTACATCTTGATTTTCTTCGTATTTTTGTTGAGCAAACGCGAGGTGTTACTATTCTTTGTTCACGATTAAGCTGACGTTTCGGCGGATTTCGCCTTCTTCACAGCCTGGAAAGGTCAAGTTGATAGCAACCCACTCGGCCAGACGCCTCCATAACCAAACAAAGAAACTCCAAACCAAGATTTCAATCACTTTGAACACAGCTTTGTACACTCACCGCTTTCTATGAGGTTTCCACTGAGTATATCGCGTGAAGACCGAACGCACCAAATTCACATGGAAGCGTAATGTGCTCCTCCCATCAGAATAACAGGTCTATATACTGTCCAATATCACGCGTGATAACAAGGCATTCTTCCCTGCGGTTCATTTTCGGATTTCTGGAATTAATCCAGAGTGCCTCGAGAGTTTTTCGCGCCTGTGTTCTTGATTCGCGTGCGAGGATCGTGACACATACTTCGAAGTCGCCCCGTTATGTCTCTGGGTCCTATGCGTGCCTAGCGGGGTATTTGGTCTATTTTTGCCGGCTAGGTGTTCCTTCATGCGGACACAGAGGGGTCTACCCGTTTCGCCAATGTATTCNAAGCGTAATGTGCTCCTCCCATCAGAATAACAGGTCTATATACTGTCCAATATCACGCGTGATAACAAGGCATTCTTCCCTGCGGTTCATTTTCGGATTTCTGGAATTAATCCAGAGTGCCTCGAGAGTTTTTCGCGCCTGTGTTCTTGATTCGCGTGCGAGGATCGTGACACATACTTCGAAGTCGCCCCGTTATGTCTCTGGGTCCTATGCGTGCCTAGCGGGGTATTTGGTCTATTTTTGCCGGCTAGGTGTTCCTTCATGCGGACACAGAGGGGTCTACCCGTTTCGCCAATGTATTCGTCTCCGCACTCCCTACAAGAGATCAGATAAACTATACCCGAGCTCATGCAATCACCGTCTCTACCACTGGGGCAAATTATGCAATTTTGAGTTGCACATAGACGGTCATATAGGCGGTTACGAACTAGCTGGCGCTTAAGATTACTCGGTGGTATTTCAACTACGCTCACCGAATTCTCTAAGCCCGCCCTTCTTAAGCAGCGTTTTATAGCTGTACTTATATCATTTGAGATGAAGGGTAGGATAAACGGGACCCTTCTATCGCTAGAGTTGTCGTTTGGAGGCCTACGATTTCCTCTACACCTATTCTGAGCTACAGTTTCGTAGCCATTAGAAACGGCTATTTGCCGTGCCAAGTTCCGGGACTCCTCTCTCTGCTCTCTTCCCGTGCACACGTTGGTTGCTGTTCGAAACATGTTTCTTATAAGCGCCTTTTTCGTGTGAGAGGGGTGAGAGGAGAGGTAATGAACCAAGATATTTTTACTACTTGGCTTTCGGTACCACTTTGTAATGTAGCCAATTTCTGATAGGTGAATTTGTACGTTCAAAAATGGAAGGCATTTTTCTTTCGGCTTTTCTCGGGTGAACTTGATATACTCTGACTGTGTGTTCAACAACTCGAAACATCCGTCGATTTCTTTTTGCGTTGAACAAATGACCAAGCAGTCATCTATATATCTACAGTAGAGTAGCGGCCCGAGATCAGTCACCGCAAATGAACAAGATGCTAGGAGGCTACCTTTGAGGCACAAGAACGGTAGCAACCTATGGAGGCGTCGTAGGCGCCAGCTAGCGTCCGTGGGTGACAACTAGGACCACATCCGCTGTAGGTAATAGAGTATTTATAGTGAACTCAAGGTAATCTAGTTACAACTATTAATTCACTATGATAGTGGAAAATTTGTTGACTTTCTAAAGTGTAAAGTGGTTATTCTATTGTTGGAGAATAGGGTACTAGCTATTATACACTGATATTTCTGTAATAAACTAATTTTAAAAAACCGAGAAAATAAGTAAAGCAGTTAGCAATAACATGATTCTGATTCACGATCTCATAATGTAACAGAGCTCTTTATGGGGTGGAATTGGTAGTTCACAGCGGTTCGTGATGCGGTCCATCAAGGAGCAAATTGATGGTTTCACCTCACCCCAACGGTCGCATCCTAGACGAAATCCTCAAGCAGCGGCCAAAATAACATGCGAAATGTTCGAAGACCAAGCATTGCAGACGATGAATATAAGGAAAACAAATTGAATGCAGAATGCGCTGGAAACTGCACAGTAGATGTGATGATGGATCATGTAAAATAAAATAAATAAAAACAATGCAACATAGCATAAAACAATAAAAAATGCAATATGGGACGCGAGTACAGCAAGAGTTGAGAAGCAGTCCAATGGTACATCAAATGCCTTGAGTCGACTTCTTTTCTGGTAAACCAAGTTTCCCATCACTCCTAGGTTGGAAAAATGGCATGAGAATAGCCTTGGAAGAGACCTCTTCTATCCCAAGCCTTGGGTACTGCCTGTGTTGTAGGCCCGTGAAGGTCCCAATATGGCTGTCGTAGAACTCCAGGAAGAATCGATTCAGTCGACAATTGAGGACATTCGTAAATAAAAAAGACGAATGTCTGCAATCACTAGCAGAACCCACACCCAAATCCGGGGATAGCGAATTCGTCGAAGCGAATCAAATAAAAAAGTGCTGGGCATTCCCATAATATGGAGTGTGAGGTCATTTAAATAAGAAGACATGAAATGAAGGATAAAGCGTTTGACGTTGCTCAATCCCAAGAGGATACGCCATGCATTCAACTTTATCAGGCACCCTTAGAGATAACTGAAGGCACACCTGGCCAATAAAATAACTTTCGGTGGCTTACTGATGTAAAACTCCAACACTGTTGTCTTCCAAGACAAGTCTGGTGCCTATCTGACGACCCCAGAATGAAGTAAGCATCGGTGACTTGGGCGCAAAATCGAGCTAAAAACTATGTACGTCTTGCAGGCCCCTCCCTCTAAGCACCGCGCATTCCTCGCTTTTAAACCTAATACAAACGCTGGAAAACAACATAGTGTTTCAACTTTTATTTACTGCCTATTCTCTTTGCATGGAAAGGTCTTATATGAAAAACAAC